CTTCCTTCCTTCTTTCCTTCTTTCCTTCCCTCTTTCTCAAATTCCAAGAAGGCTTTATTATATACAGAGGGGAGGGGTTCAGTCCTTCTTGACTATTGCTTTCCTTGTGACTCCTGGGACATTGCTCAGCTCCTCTCTTTCTCTTGGCATAGATGTGTGTCTCCACCCTTTTCTTGATGGACTTAAGACAGGCTTGTCCTTGGAGACCTTGCACAGCTCTATGGCATGTCAGGCATAAAGGGCAAAGCCGCTCATCTCTCCAATCACGTCCTGCTTGAACATGGTGTGCTTCGTGGTGCGCCCGCAGCGATGACCACGCCTCGGCTTGCTCATGTTCTTACTCAACTTGCGACCGTTGTTGCGGCCCCTGCCGTAGGGCAGCGCTCAAAGTTGGGGCTGCTGCTCCTCTCTGGCTCCTGAGGCAGAACGCTAGTTACTGTCAAGATTCTTTGTCCTTAGTTTTCAGAAGTTTGATTACGATGTGCCTGGATATGGCTTTCTTCACTTTATCCTATTTGGGATTTACTCAGCTTCTTGAATCTGTAGACTACCTAAGGGTAATTTACCAGATATCCAGTATTTCAGCCATTATTTCTTCAAATATTTTTTTCAGATCAAAGTTTCTTTCTGCCTTTCTCCTGGAACTTCAGTAATATAAATATTACATCTTTCGTTATTGTCCCCAAAGTCCCTGAAGCTCCTTTCATCTCAATTGAGACCAAAAAAAAAAAAAAAAAATCTACTTCTCTTTTGTGTAGACTTCAATCTGTTTACTCTCTGTTATTCAGACTGGATAATTTGTTTTCTTTTCTTTCTTAAGATATTTGTTTATTTATTATTTATTTATTTGAGAGTGAGAGAGAAAGAGCATGAGTGGGGGAGGGGCAGAGGAAGAGAGAATCTCAAGCAGACTCCCCACTGAGCAGGCAGCCCTAGGCAGGGCTGGATCTCACAACCCTGAAATCATGACCTAAGCTAAAGGCAGCCACTTAACCAGCTGAGCCACCCAGGCTCCCCAGAGTGGATAATTTCTATTGGCCTATTATCAAGATCACCAACTCTTTCCTCTCTCATCTCCATTCTTCCATGGAGATGAATGAGTTTATTCCAGTGAATTTTATTTCAGTTACTGTATTTTCAGTTCTAAGTTTTTCATCTGGTTCTCTATGTTTTCTAATTCTTTCTGAGATGACATATATTTTTTGAGGGGGGAGGGGCAGAGGGAGAAAGAGAGAGAGAGAGACTCTTAAGCTGGCTCCATGCTCAGCTCAGCATGGAACCTGACAAGGGGCTTGATCTCACAACCCAGAGATCATGACCTGAGCCAAAATCAAGAGTTGGACGCTTAACCAAATGAGCCACCCAGGTGCCCCTGAGACTCTATATTTTTTAATTTGTTTCAAGAGGGTTCATGAGTGCTCCTTGAAGCATTTTTACAAGTTCCTTTAAAATTCTTGTCAGATAATTCCAGTATCTGTGTCATCTTGGTGTTGGCATCTACTTATTGGCTTTTCCCATTCTATTTAAGATTTTCTTGATTCTTAAAATATTGAGTATAATGAATTATTTTCTATTATACCCTGGATGTTTAGGATATTATGAGACTATAATTCCATTTTAAAAGTGTTACTGCCAAGGCAATAATCAGAGCTCTGTTTGCACATCCCCAGTACCAGTCACCTTGCACAGTGGCTGAATCACAATTTTTGGAGTTTTGGATAATTTGTTGTACAGTTATTGTAAGAAGAGAGAGAAAGAGACAGAGACAGAGAGATCCACTTGTATATAGAAGGGGAGATTGTCTATGTATGAATATATGTGTGCTTATATAATTATTTTATGCTCTGGGCCATAGAGGTATGTGAGCAATGGAGTAAAATGGCTTTGAGGCTCTTGGTGGGGTGGGGATTGATGGTGACAGGACCCCAACCACAGTTTGGGGGAATGGAGAGCTGGGCTGGACGTCTGAGATGGCTCATCCACATGGCTGACAGTTGATGCCTAGTGAGGATGAGAGCATGGTGGTCATCCTTCTCACATGGCAGCTACCCTTCCCCTTGAGTGAGAGTCTCAAGAGAACCAACTAAGCTGCCCTTTTCTGACTTAGCCTCAGAGGTCATACAGCACCTCTGGTTACACATGAGCTACTAAGGCCAGCCCAGATCCAGGGGAAGGGCACAGAATCACTTCAAAGGATTTGAAGACATGTTTTAAAGCTACCACAGCCTTCCTTCCAGCTACAGAGTATTTACATTCTTTCCACATGCAGGATTCGCTCTTCCTACAACCTCGGAATTCTCGTCTATTTTGTAGCAGACTCATAGTCAAGGTCCACAAGCCTCGCCATCTAGATCAGAGCCAGGTGTTGTGGAGGTGCCATGATTGCTGGAAAATTAGAACTCCGGAGCACTTCCAGAGCAAGGGAAGCAGTTGCAACTATTTGGGAAACCAGTAGATGAATTATTTAGGACTGCACTGCCTGTTATGGTAGCCATCAGCCACATACACCAATTAAATTTAAATTAAAGAAAAATGAGGAGTACCTGGTTGACTCAATCAGTTGGGCATCAGACTATTGACTTGGGCTTGGGACAACATCTCCAGGTTGCGGTATGGAGCCCTGCCTTGGGCTCTGTCCTCCAGTCGGCTTGAGATTCTTTCTCCCTCTCCGTCTGCCCCTCCCCATGCTCACATGCACACACTCTCTCAAATAAATAAATAAATAAATAAATAAATAAACCCTTTAATTAATTAATTAAACAAAAATGGAAAAACCTGAAAATTCAATTTCTCCATTGCACTAGCTAAATTTTAAGCACTCAATAGCTCCATGTGGCTAGTGGTTACTGTACTGGACAGCATGGACATAGAACCCTTCCAACCTTGCAGAAAGTTCTACTGAATAGTGCTAACTAGACAATAGAAGTTCAGGTATACTCTGTGCCCCAGAAATCCACTCTGAATATATATCTTAATCTGGAGTCTCCCAAAAGTTTGCCCTGAGCCAAGAGGACAGTGGTTTATTTGGGAGGTATCCCCTAGAAACACAGGTGAGCAGAGAAATTGGGACCAGAGGAGAAAAAAAGCCAAAAATGGTGCAGAGTCTGGACCACACTGAGGCAAGTGAGGCACCAGGGCACTTGCCTGAACCTGAGAGGGAGTGCCTCCTTGAAGTTTACACCCCCACGACCTTACTTCCCCACCCTTGTCCCAGCCCCTGAAGGGCAACTGCTGTGAGCCACTAGGGTTCATGCCCACCAGGCAGGGACCCTCTAAGGACTCAAGGAGTCATGCAGAACACGGCTTCGAATCAACCCACTGAGGAAAAGAGAAGCAAAAGTATTTATTCCCTGGCTCCCACCCCTTTCTGGTGGAAGATTGCCCCTGGGGAAGTAATCTAGGTGCTTCCAGTCTGTTCTGCAGGCAGATGGGAGAAAGACCTCAGATGGAGAAGAAAGATACAGGCATATGAGGTGGGAAGGTGTCAGGGTGTTCATGAACCGCCCACCAGAGCTACAAGTGAGTGAGAAAAATGAGCTGAGGGGATATGGTGGCGGGTGCTATGGCATGTCCTAGAAGACCTCCCATGGAGGGGATGTGTACAAGCCTTCGGGTGATGGGGAGCCGGAAGACTACCTAAGCGCCCATCACTGGAGGAGTAGATAAGTGAACGTGCTGTGGGCACACCATGGGCTATAATGCAGCAGTTAGGAGAACTTGGTGTATGCCACTATATGGAGAGATCTCCAGAACATAAGTTGAAAAAAAAAAAAAAGGAAGAGATAGAATGAAATTTATAGCACAATCCCATTTATGCAGATTGGAAGACATATACACACACACAGTCACAAATGATAAAGACACATCTTCCCAGCTATATATCAAATGCCTTAAAGTGGGTGCCTGCGGGTGGGTGGGGTGGGAGTGGGGATCGGGTGCAGGAAGTGGGGGGAAAACCCTAGAAAGTCTTTCATGGGCCAATTGCAATTCTGTGTTATGATCTGAAGAGTATGATTAATAACTCTCTGCACCTAAGGGCCAAGAAAAAAAAATAAGGGAATGAAAAACATAAAGTGCCCACACATCAAAGCAATTCCCTACCTGCTACACAATTATTATTACCGCGGGAGGTGATGATAACAAAGCAACCAGACTCCATCTGCCTTCTGGAAGCCCTCCTCACTGCCTTCTCCCCAGGCAGCCCCTCCAGTCCCCAGCAAGTTCTCTTGCCCCCATCGAATGAGGAGCTCTCTACCCTTTCCTGCTACCCAGAGGGGGAGACAGGAGAACTGGCTGGCTATGACTCCCACAGGTTCTCACCTTCTTCTCTGGGTGTACATTGAGCAGGGGGTAAGCGTACGAGACTCCCTTCAAACCCCAGCTCTGCCATTAGCCAGCTGTGGGACCTTAAGCAAGTCATTTTTCCTTCCTGTGCCTCCGTTTTCTAGCTGGTAAAATGGGAACAAGCATAAAAGTAACAACTCACAGGAATGTTCAGAGTATAAAATGAGTTCCCAGAACTAGCTTAAACCGATGGGGGAAGTGCCCTCTCTTGCATCCACACAGCCTCACCACTCATCCTCTGCCCTTCCTTCACCCAGTCCCTGCCCTGCTGTGACCACTTCCTATCCTTCTACCTGCCTTGGCCTCAATCGGTGGATTCCCAAAATTCCAGGAACTCCTAAACTAGGTCAGGAAATCCTTAGGCTTTGCCCTGGGATCAAATTTCAGTTTCTCTTTCCTTCCGTTCTGGGCTCATCTGGCCCCACCCACACCTGTGAGCTCACCTTGCGGCTTCCAGAAAAGACTGTCACCCCCTGCTCCCTTTCTCCTGCAGCTGACTTTTTTGTGCCTCATTCTCCTCCCATGAGCTGTCAGAAAGCAGCACACCTGACTCCTTACCTGACCCCACCCACTCCCGCCTTTCAAGTCATTGTGAAAATCACAATTTCCATTTGCCTTTTCCCTTTACACACATCAGCCAGGACTGCTCACTTAGCCTGCCTAAAAAACGGAGCCATGCAGCCAGGGAAGCAGTTGCGATATGATCATGGCCATGGCGTGGGTCCTGCTGCTGGTAACTGCAGGGCTAAGCATGGCCACAGCTGGCCCCGTCCCCACTTCTAAGCCCGCCACAACCTGGAAGGGCTGTGACATTGGCAGGTTCAAATCTCTGTCACCACGGGAGCTGGAAGCCTTCAAGATGGCCAAGGATGCCTTGGTGAGTCCCTATGATTGTGGATTAACCTCTACTCCTCCTGCTTTGGCCCAGGTGCCACCTGGCTACAGTGGGCTAACCTCTATCCTCCTGCGATGGGCTAGCCTCTGTCCTTTCTGCTCTCCTTTGAGGTCAGCCTCCATCCTTGTTGCTATGAGCTAGCCTCCAGCCTTCCTACTGTGGGCTAAACCTCTGCTCTTACTCTCTAGGAAAATTCACTAAAAAACTGGAGTTGCATCTCCCGCCTCTTTCCTAGAAACCGGGACCTGAGACAGCTGCAGGTGAGTTGGAAGTGAGGCCATACTTGCCCTCACCTGGCCCCTCTCCCTCAGTCTTTAAGTGGCCCCTTGCCTCCTTTATCTCACCTGTCCTCCCCTCTGTCTGGTCTCCCCTCTCCTGTCCTGTGCCACCCCCAACAGCCCTGCCACACCCCCACCCCCCATCCCTGTCCTTCCTCAACTGCTACCTTGACCCTATCCCTCCCTTGGGTCCCTTTCCCATCCAAGTACTAACCAGGCCCGACCCTGCTTAGCTTCCGAGAGCAGACAAGATCAGGTGCATTCAGGGTGGTATGGCCGTAGACCCTTAGGTCCCTTTCTATCACCTCTTTGCCTCTCCCCACATCCCTATCTCTTTCACCTGTCCCCATCACTCTTACCTAATTCCTTCTCATTTCTCCCTTCTTCTCTCTCGGGGTTCTATCTTCCACCCAAGCCCCTTGCCCTGGCCAGCTTGTCACTGTCTAGTCTCAATGCTGATTCCCTCTGTCCCTCTCACCTGTCCTCCCCACCACATTCTCCTTTGTGTCCCCCATCATCTTTCTTCCACTGCCCTTTCCCAGAGTCTGCGCCTCCTTCCTTCACCTTGGTCACCTGTGCAGCCGGCACCCCCTCCCCTTGCTTCCCTAACCTGTCTCTGTTCACCCATCCCCTTCCTGTCTCTCCGAACTTCTATGACCCCCATGAGCCACATTTCACTTGTACCACTTCACTCTTTCTCCTGTATCTTCCCTTAGGTTTCTGCCTCACCTCTATCCTTCATCTGCATCCTTCCGCATGTGTTCCCTTCTCCTGCCTCCTTCTTACCTGACCCATCGCCTGTCCTCATCCTCTGTCACCTATCACCTGCCCCCTTTCCCTGCACTCCTGACCTGCCCCCACGTAACTGGGTCTTCTTGCCTCCGCTTCCTCACCTTTCCACCTTGTCTGTTCTTTCTCACCTCTCATCAGGTGTGGGAGCGCCCCGTGGCCTTGGAGGCTGAGCTGACCTTGACCCTAAAGGTCCTGGAGACCATGGCTGATAGGTTCCAGGGGGGCATCCTGGACCAGCCCCTTCACACTCTGCGCCACATCCACTCTGAGCTCCAGGACTGTGTGAGTGCTCGGGGCACCTGGGTCCTCTCTGTGGGGTCTGGGCATAGGGGACATCACCCCTCTGCCCTAGGCCCCACCTCATACACCACCCTCCTCTGCCCACAGGTCAAGGCTCAGCCCATAGTAGGCCCTCAGCCCCGAGACCGCCTCCACCACTGGCTGCACCGGCTTCATGAGGCCTCAAAGAAGGTGAGTGACTCAAGAGGGGGATGGATGCCCGGGCCCTGAGTGAGGGAGGAGGCGGACACCTGGAAAATGGCAAACATGTTTCCCTTTCTCAGGAGTCTCAAGGCTGCCTCGAGGCCTCTGTCCTGTTCAACCTCTTCCGCCTCCTCAAAAAGGACCTGGAATGTGTCGCCAGTGGAGACCTGTGTGTCTGAGGACCTGGACCCACCCCCAGCCCATGTGGGACCCCAGACCTTAATTGATACACTAAGCCCCAGCCCTGCCTTAAGTTATTTCCTCTCCCCCCTTATTTATGAAGCCGGAGTGCTGACCCAAAAGAAATGCTTGTTTTTCTACTTTTATACAATATGCGCAAGTAAACATGAAGGAATTAGAACCTTCTGTAATAAGTGAGTCCTTGGGTACATGTATGATTGTGAGTCTGCAACTGAGTGTGGGTGTCTGGGAGGTGGAGGTAAAATGTGTAACCGGCTGTGTATATTTGTGTGTGCCTGATTTCCGCGACCATGTGCATGCATGCATTTAAGTGAGTGTCTGCCTGAACCTGGGTCTGACTGTAGGTGCCTAATAGCAAGTTCGCACCCACATGTACGCCGTTCTGTGAACATGTAACACACGTTTATATGTCTCTCTGTCTGTCCCCATCTGTGAACTGGATATCTCTCTGTTCCATGGGCACCTAGGACACAGAGAGGTCTAATCAAGATGATTTATCCTGTAATGAGTATCAGAAACTCAACTCAAGTGGGGAAAGCAAAAGTGAGTTTATTATCACACATAACAAAAAGTCAGCTCACAGGGCTGGTCTAGGACAGGTTAATTCATTATTCAGCAATGTCTTTGAGAACCAAATTCTTTCCATTTCTGTTGGTTGATTCTTTTTTTTTAAGATTTTTTATTTACTTATTTGACAGACAGAGACCACAAGTAAGCAGAAAGGCAGGCAGAGAGAGAGGGGGAAGCAGGCTCCCCACTGAGTGGAAAGCCTGATGCGGGGCTCGATCCCAGGACCCTGAGATAATGACCCGAGCTGAAGGCAGAGGCTTTAACCCACTGAGCCACCCAGGTGCCCCATCTGTTGGCTGATTCTTACTCTGGCTACCTCATGGTCTCAAGGTGGCAGCCACAGCTCTGGCTGTCACAACCAACCACCTCAAACTTAATGGAGTAAAATGACAACCATTTGATCCTACTCATAGATTCTGTGGGTCACAAATTTGGACAAGGCTCAATGTGGATAGCTTGCCTCTGCTCCACAATGTCTGGGGCCCTGACTCGCCTTCCATAGGTTTTTGTTTTTGTTTTTTAAGGTTTATTTATTTATTTTGGGGGGGGAGGGAGCGCTTATGAGTGGGGGGAGGGGCAGAGAGAGGAGAGAAGCAGACTCCTGGCTGAGCGGGGAACCTGATGTGGAGCTCACTCCAACAACCCCCAAGATCACAACGTGAGCTGAAATCAAGAGTCAGACACCTGGGGCGCCTGGGCAGCTCAGTCGTTAAGCATCTGCCTTCAGTTCAGATCATGATCTCAGGGTCCTGGGAGCGAGCCCCCCTTGGGCTTTCTGCTCAGCAGGGAGCCTGCTTCCCCCTCTCTCTATGCTTGCCTCTCTGCCTACTTGTATCTCTCTGTCAAATAAGTAAATAAAATCTTAAAAAAAAAAAAAAAAGAGGGGCGCCTGGGTGGCTCAGTGAGCTAAGCCTCTGCCTTCGGCCCAGGTCATGATCTCAGGGTCCTGGGATTGAGCCCCACATTGAGCTCTCTGCTCTTTGCCTGCTTCCCCCTCTCTCTGCCTAGTTGTGATCTCTCTCTGTCAAATAAATAAATAAAAACTTAAAAAAAAAAAAGAGTTGGACACTTAACTGACTGATCCACCAAGGTGCCCCTCTTCCACAGTTCTTAAAAGCGAGGAAAACTGCGGCATCTCAAATAAATAAATAAAAGGTTTAATTTATTTATTTGAGAGATATCGCTTCTCGGCCTTTTGGCTAAGATCAAGTGTATTTATTTGAGAGAGTTCATGGGTGGGGGGGAGGGACAAAGGGAGAGGGAACAGCAGACTCCCTGCTGAGCAGCCCCCCCAATGTGGGGCTCAATCCCAGGACCCTGAGATCATGACCTGAGCGGGAGGCAGATGCTTAACCAACTGAGACACCCAGGTGCCCCAATAAATAAAGTATTTTTAAAAATTAAAAAAAAAAATTAAAGAAAACCTTCCAGAGAAACTCCCTATTGGATGTGCATGCTTGTCTCATTGGCCAGAATTTAGTCACATGCTTAAGCCTAAAGCAATCAGTGGCAAGGAAGATATAAGTTGCTCAGCCCATGGCATGAATTTCTTTCCCTTTGTCTGACACCTGCTTTTGGGATTGCCTTGCAGTTTGGGATGGCCATCCAACTGAAGGGCTTCTTAAATTCATTAACATATGTAAGGAATTTAAAACAGTTCTTGGCACAGGTTAAGCCCCACATATGTATTTATTGCTCTTACTCTTATTTTAGAATTTTTTTTCTTGATGCAAAGAAAACTCTTCCATGTGCTCCCTTCGTTCCTGCATACTTCACTAGTATGAGGATGTGAGCTCTGGAGCTGTGGTGGCCATTTTGTGACTAGGAGGCAATGAGCCAAAAGTATGAAGCTATTCTTCTAAGGAAGGTAGAACTAAAGAGTAGGAAATTGGGTCCTTGGCAACATCAGTGAGGCATTGCACCAAAACTCCAAAACTCCTAACTCCAGGCTTCTTATTAAATGAGATAAACAGGGCTTCTGGGTAGCTCAGTGGGTTAAAACCTCTGCTTTCTGCTCAGGTCGTGATCCCGAGGTCCTGGGATTGAGCCCCGTGTTGGGCTTTCTGCTAGGTGGGGAGCCTGCTTTCTCCTCTCTCTGTCTCTGCCTGCCTCTCTGCCTACTTGTGCTCTCTGTCAAATAAATAAATAAAATCTTAAAAAAAAATAAATGAGATAAACAAATGTCTTAAGTCATGTTAATTGCAGCAGAGGTATCCTTACAAATTCATCTCTGTACACCCAGCATAAAGCCTAGAGAAGGTAGTCAATTAATATTTGATAATATGGGGTGCTTGGCTGGCTCAGTTGGTACAGCATGCATGTGACTCTTGATCTCAGGGTCTTGAGTTCAAGCCCCATGTTGGGTGTAGAGCTTATGTTACCAAATATATATATTTGCTAATAAACATTTGAATCATATAGGACATATCTGAACTCTGGCATATGACCCTTTTCAATAGGCATGCCAGAATTACAGTCGCAAATCCCTTCTTGGAGATGCCAAGGCCTAACAAAAAATTTTGAACTGAATATATTTTGGTTTGGCCTGTTCAGCATTCATTTCTCCTGGTAAAGCTCTTCAATTTTCCTTTGGGGACTAACTCCCATTTTCCTACTCCTTCATTTAGTTGAACACGTGACTCAGGTTAGCTCAGTCAGAGCACTCCATCTCCAGAGCACGGTGGCAAGCCCTCCCTTGTCCCCACGCACGACAGCCTCTGTATCCGCTGTTCCCTGTGCCTGAGACATGTCCTATCACTCTCCTGCCACCGCAAAGTCTTCACCTGGTCTGTTCCCATTCATCCCTTATGTCTTAGCTAATACCACCTTCTCCCTCAAAACCATGCACCTTCTGCATGGTGTACCGGGGTTCTTACTGCTTTCATATGTCTAAAAACTTTCCCATCCTACTTTTCTGGTGACTATCTAGGGTCAATCGTATGAAATTGCCGATGTTCTGCCATTTCTAACCTACAAAACTGGCGATTTCATTTGGTTCAAACTCATATTATTTTAGTAACCTCCCCTCCCCCAGACCACACAACCCAGACACCTGACCCCCACCTGGCCAATCAAAGCATTACATTGGATACTACAGTCAGAGCAAGAATGTCATGTGACTCCAGTCAGGCCAATCAGAGCCCTGCCCTTGTTTCCCCCCCCCCACCTCGTTTAGGATTGGAAGAGATTTTGCCATTTTACCTTTGGGGTTATGGTGCTAGAAGCATCAAATCTGTGTCTGTAAATAAATGGCCATTTTCCCCACCTGTTGTTGAAAAGGATGAATCTGAGCTGACAGAAACAGAGAAGAAAAATGAATGAATAAAGTGTCTGGGGAAATTGAGTCCGAGTTGCAGTCTCTAAGGCCAAGTTCCTTGTAGCTTTACCCTTGACAGTCTGCTTCCCAGATTTATGAGATAACAATGCCCACTTTTTAGGTCTAATCCAGGGAAGCTGCATTCCTGTCATTTGCTACCTAAAGACTGACTTATACATGTCCCTGAACCTTGGGGCAGGGTCAGACAGCTCCGCTGGGCTCCCAGGTTCCTGTTCTTCCTACAGCAGTAGGGCTGTGATCGCCCTCAGCTCTGGGAGGGCAGGGACCGAGTCTGTCTGGGTATTCAGTGCCCAGCCCAGGGCCAGGCACAGAAGAGCTACTCAGACATTTCCCTTGGATGATACTATGCCCTCTCTCACCTAGTGTACCTGTTTCTTGGGTTTAGATCTCTCAGTTTTGAAAAACAAGCACGGCTTTGGCATTTACAGATATAACTCTCTACCAAATGAAGGGGTTACAGGTGAAGGAAGGAGGGTGGAGTGCTATCCAAAGAGCTAAACTGGGGACCATGTGGGTCCCAAACATGTCGGGTGGATGCCATAACCTGAGATGGCAGTTTCTGGTTCTGTTTTGAAGACACATACATCCCACCCCACAGCTGGGGTCTCCATGGAAATCAGACATCATATATCACCTCTACAGAAAACCCTCCATTGGCTTCTCTTAACTTGGAGAATAAAATCTGGACTCTTGACCCCAGCCCACAAGGCTCTGCAGAATCTGTTCCCTGCTTGCCTCTCCACCTCCTCCCCTCCCGCTCTCTCACTTGCTCCAGTCCAGACATACTACCTCCAAAACACTAAGGACACTCTTTCCTCAGGGCCTTTGCATGTGCTATTCACTTTGCCTGGAATGCTTTATCCTGGCTCTTCCTACCAGGGATTTCTTCAGCTCCAGTATCATACTCCTTGAGCCCCCAATCTAAAGTGGGCCTCCTGGTCGGTCCCCATCCCTTCCCGTTCTCATTCTTTCCATGGCATTTACCCACCCCCAGACACATCATTTATGTGCTTGTTTACTCTTATCCCCCCTTTACTCTCATCCCCATGCCTAGAATATAAGCTCCATGGGGCAGGGGTTTCTTGTTTTATTTTTTTCACTGTTGTATCCCCTGCACAGCGCCCAGTATACAGTACAGGCTCAATAAAGCTTTATTGGGTGAATCAGAGACAGTATAGTCAGATG